CCACCCATGCACCCCCATTACAAAAAATTTTTAAAATAATCTCTACACCCAAAGTAGAGCTCGAACTCATAAACCTGAGATCAAAAGTCACATGCTCATCAGACTGAGCCAGTCAATGCTGCCCCCTCCACAGTGCGAGTTCTTAACTTCAATTGATTTTGCTTTGAAAGTAGTGGTACAGGGTTGTGTCACTGAAATCAAGGGATATAGGAGTTTCAGGGAAGGGGTTGGTCAAAAGTGCCGGTGCTGATGACAGGTCATGGAGAATGAGAGTCATTACCATGAAGCAAGACCTGGAAGGGGTATTCTAAAATGAGACACTGATTTCACAATTTCATGTATGTACAAGCACATACTCCACACTGGACTGATACCAGCCCAGCTCCCTTTAACAAGATTGATCAAGGATGACAAGAAGGTTTTCACTCAGGTGATTGTTCTGGAAACAAGGTGGCTAAATGCATTAGTCACCAGCCTTCTCTGTCATCATCTTAGATCCATTAAGCCCATTTAACCTGCCATTCAGGTGGCTGGAAAAGAATGCAAACCACACCCCAATTGTCCACCAAGCACCCTCTAATAAAAGGCCAGAGTAACTTAATGAAAGCTTCAGCTCTCCTCTGTGGTTGAGGCCAAAGAAAGGTGGGGAAAGGGACCTTACAATCAAGAGAATTTAAATAGGGCTTAAGTACCACTGAGAGTTCTGAACATTATCCTACAAAAACAATTGAGGACTATTGAGTTTTTAGGTAAACTTATATTGGGGCACTGGCTTGGGTTTTGATCCTAGTCAATTATCTTTGTGTAGAATTCAAGTATACCTTCAGGTTGTTGGGCAAACCCCACTTAGTCTCCTATAAGCTGGTTAAGGATGATTTCTGACCAATGTAAAGCACATGAGGCCTCTGGTCTATACTTCATTATGACAACTTTTCAAACTTCCCCATCTCAAATTCATATGTTGTAAAATTTCTGATTCTTCAGGCCCACATATCCTATTTGACCTTCTGTATTGTTCATACCACACCCTATAATATGGGATGCTGCAGCCATTCCTTTCTTCTTCATTCATTCATTTATCCATCTGAGAGCCTATTATGGATCAGGTGCTGTTCTAATTGGATAATATGAAAAATAATCAAATGAATTTGTAATTTGGCAAATGGTGGTAAGCAATATGAAGGAAAATAAGTAAGTGTAAGGGAATGAAGAGTTAGGTGCGGCAATGGTGGCTATTTTAAAAAGTGGGATCAGAGTATGAGGTGACATTTGAGCAAAGGCTTGAGCAAAGAGAAGGCTCCAGACATAAGGAGTTCTGATTAGTTTATAAGCCACTCAAAAACAGGGAGTGTGTCTTGTTCATTTCATATCCCTCTAAACATCTACTGCTGTGCATCCACTGTTGGTATCTCAGGAAATACCAGGGGAATGGCTACTTGAATGTATAGGGAAAAAGAAAAAAAAGCAACCTACTGACTGTTACATTAGACTAGAGAAAACATTTATTGCACAAAAGCTTTATTTAGAGGGAAGTTTTTGTAACTAGATGAACACAATATTTTTACACGGGACATAAATGATCATGGATTTGAAAAGGGTTCTTTTTGTTTGTTTGTTTTGTTTTAAGATTTTATTTTGGGGCACCTGGGTGGCTCAGTCCGTTAAGAGTCTGACTCTTGATTTGGGCTCAGGTCATGATCTCAGGGTCTTGGGAAAGAGTCTGCATATGACTCTTCTGCTGGGCATGGATCCTGCTTAAGAAGCTCTTCCTCCCTCTTCCTTTGCCCCTCCCCCACTCACATGAGAGGACTTTCTCTCTCTCTCTCTTAAAAAAAAGAGAAAGAATTAAAGGTTTTATTTTTAAGTAAGCTCTACAGTGAACATGGGGCTCAAACTCACAACCCTAAGATCCAGAGTCACTGAATGAGCCAGCCAGGCACCCCTGAAAAAGGTTTTATTATATTTTTATATAGAACTCTGCTTTGTAGCAATAATTATTATAATGAATTAACCAATTATTAGTTCAAGTTTTGTACACTTCATTACTTGTAAATTCCATTATAATTTTCTGCCTTTCCTATAAAAATAATTATTTCAAGTAGGCAATACATTTATAAGACTTAAAAATTAGAAAGTATAAATAGGTACACAATGAAAAATCTTCCTCCTACCTTTTGCCCTTCCACTGCCCAGTTCCCAACCTCACCCTTAATACACACACACACACACACACACACACACACACACACAGCTATTACTATTATCTTGTGTATCCTTCCACAGTTTCTTCATGCATATATAAGTAAGTACAAATATGTACTCTTATTCTCCCTTTGAACACAAATAACCCATTCTGCACTTTTGCTGCATCTTGGAGGTCTTTCCATATAAATACATGTAGGATTTTTCATTCTATTTTACTGTTGCATAATGTTCCATTGTATAAAGGACCATGATTTATTTAAAGAGTGTCTCGCTAATGGATGATTAGGCTTTTGTTATTAAAACAAAGCTTCAATAAATAATGTGGAACATTTATCATTTTACATATGTATGACTATAGCTATAAAATCCCTACAAGAAAAGTTATTTGTTTTTTGCTTTTTATAAAGTGAGGCCACATTAAAACTTTTTTTTAACGTTTATTTATTATTGAGAGAGACACACACACACACAGAGCATGAGCAGGGGAGGGGCAGAGAGAGGGGGAGACACAGAATCTGAAGCAGGCTCCAGGTTCCGAGCTGTCAGCACAGAGCCTGACGCGGGGCTCGAACTCACAAACTGTGAGATCATGACCTGAGCCGAAGTCAGTCGCTCAACCAACTGACCCACCCAGTCTCCCCAAGAAAAATTATTTGTAACTGCTATAGATATTGCTAAGTTGTATTCCCTGGAGCTTGTACTATTTAACTGTCCCACCAACATCAATGAGAAGGACATTCATTCATTACATAAATATTTACTGAATATCCACTGCCTCTTAGGCAGCATGGGAAATATTAGGGATGTAACTAAGACATGGTTTCTGCCCTGAAGGAGCTCATAGTCTGGGACAGTAGTGCTTAACGGGGGCAATTTTACTCTCAAGGGGACATTCGACAATGTCTGGGGACACAACAAAGAAGTATGTGGTCCAAAGTGTCAACAGTGCTAAGACTGAGAAACCCTGGTCTGGTGGGAGTGACAGACATTGAAATGTAGAAAAGTTGTGTTCTTGAAACTTAGAGGAGAGGCTTCTGAAGGCCAATCAGAGAAGCAGGGATGGGAGAGAAGGAAAAGAGAACAGCCAGTGTGAGGGCATGGAGGTGTGTAAGTGGCCTTGAGTGGCTAGCCTAGTGAAAGCTGTGTGAATGAGGCATGCGCAGTAAGGCCAGAGAAATCGTCATGGATCTCACTGTCAAGGGCCTTAGTTGCTAGGCTAAAGGATGTGATCTTTAAGCAATGTGGAGAGTCACTGAAAGGTTTTAAGCAGAGAAGTGGGGGTGCTTGGATGTGCATTTTAGAAACTTGCCTTGGCTGCAGGAGGGAGGATAGTTTGAGTGGGGGCCAGATTGGTGACAAGCAGAAGAGTTAGGAGGCTTGGCAGTAATCTAGATTGGAAGTGACAAGAGCCACAACCAAAGTGGAAATGGAGGGGAGGGGTTCAGGTGATACAAAGGAAGGTAGACTCAGAAGGACATGGAGCTAAGAAGGCAACTTATAGGACGATTCCTGGGTTTCTGATATGTAAGCAATAGGGTGGACAGAGAGGTCATTCTGTAGAATACAGAATACCAAAGAAGAGCAGATCTGGGGAGGGAGAGAAATGTTAACAGATGTGTTGAATTTGAGTCAATGAGCAGGGAATATTCAGACATGCAGTTCAGCAGAAAGTCCAGGACTAGCATACCCATTTAAGAGGCATCAACAAAGAACTGTCCTTTGAAACTTTGGGAGTGGATGAGGTCATCCAGGGGGAATGCAGAAAGAGAAGTGGGTGGAAAGCCACTCTTGGGAGCAGCTGTTGATTGGCCTCCATGTTGATTGTTTGAGGAGCTGAATGCTCATCTCTTTTACAGATTACTATTCTCATTTCCTCTGGCTATGTTAACACTGCTGTTTCTCTATTCTCCTCCAAGCAAGCATCCCAATTTTTGACAACTCTTTAAAAGGCTATGCAAATCTAACTTGCTATTAATGCTATTATTTTCATTATCCCAATTGTTCATCTGGTACCTGAAAGCCTTCTACAACATACCTTCTGCCACCTCCTGCAAATCCTTTGGCAACACTTTGTTCTTTAAAAACTCAGCTTAATATTACTCAGCAATCAAAAAGAATGAAATCTTGCCATTTGCAACTACATGGATGGAACTAGAGGGTATTATGTTAAGCGAAATTAGTCACTCAGAGAAAGGCAAATATCATATGACTTCACTCATATGAGGACTTTAAGAGACAAAACAGATAAACATAAGGGAAGGGAAGCAAAAATAATATAAAAACAGGGAGGGGGACAAAACATAAGAGACTCTTTAATATGGAGAACAGAGGATTACTGGAGGGGTTGTGGGAGGGGGAATGGGCTAAATGGGTAAGGGGCATTAAGGAATCTACTCCTGAAATCATTGTTGCACTATATGCTAATTAATTTGGAAGTAAATTTTAAAAATAAAATAAAAAAAAACCACCTCAGCTCAAGTATATTTCCTGCCTGCCTTACAGGGAACCCTGGGCAAATATCTGTCATAGAACTTAAATATCTCACTATAGTTGTCTGGGTTTTTTGTCTGCTTCCCCAACTATACTGAAAGGTCTTTAGTACAGGAATCAGTTAGTTATCTTAGACTCTCCACACCTAACACAGAGCTTGGTACTTAGGCTTTTGAAAAATGGCTGTTGAATGAATGACTTTGATTGAGTTCTAAGAGGTTTATTAACAGGGCTGCTATACATTCCAGGGCACTCTTGGTTTACACCTGTTGTCCTGACACAGTTATTAATAATTACCCATTTTTATCACTTCTTGACCTTTTGGCCAAGATCAAGTGTAGTATCTGTTCTTATCAGTTTAATACCTGATATGCCTTCTATCCAAGAACAATATATTAAATGGATTTTTGGAGAAGGGAGATGGAATAACAGCTTGCCCCATCTACTCTTCACATAAAACAGGTATTGTGATATTTCAGGAATAGTCCACTCCCTCAGGGACAAAAAATAATAATAATAATGTTATTATTATTATTATCCTTTTCAATCTCAAAAGTGCACTTATTTGAAAGATAAAATATATGGTTACCCTATTTATAGAATACCCGATTGTCATAGCTGCTCTTAACTTTTGGCAAGTGTCTCTGTTTACAAGACATTTCTACCAGAGAAACCAGAAGACAGAGTAGGGTCTGTTACTGGTTCTAGTCAACATTAAATAATTGGAATCACTTTTCTGAAATTATGAGACAGAAATGAGACCCCAGAGTTATGGGAAAGAGAGGGAATTCATGCAGATCCTCACATTGATAAAACTTCTTTCAAAACCAGCAAGCTATAAAATCAGTATGAAAAATGATTGACACAAATAGAATGGTACAGTGCTAAGAATCTAAGAACCAACAACTATAGGATATTATAGATATGAGGCCTCACAAATTAGGTAGCTACAATAATTCATTATGTAAATAAGGAACTGAGGCCCAGAGAGATTATGTTGAATTGACCAGTTATAAAGTTAGTGTAAAAATGGGGCCTAAACATAAGGGTAATCAAATATAACAAAGAAATAAAATACAGAATTCAAAACTACACCCACATATATGCAGTTATTTGATTTTCAGTGAAGGTACCAAAGCAATCCAATGGGGAAACTAAAGTATTTTCACCCAAATGGTGCTGGAACAACTAAATATCCATATGAGAAAAAAAAAAAAAAGAACCTTGACCCCCCTACCTCACACCATTCACAAAGACTAATTTGAGATGGATTAGAGACTAAAATATAAAAAATAAAACTATAATTATAGCTTCTAGAAAAAAAAAAACCACAGGAGGATATCTTTATGACTTGAGGGTAGGTAAGTATTTCTTACAGAGGACACAAAAAGCAATAAAAAGTTGATGAATTCAACTTCATCAAAATTTAAAATTTCTACTCTTCGAAAGATATTGTTAAGAATAGAATAAGCAAGCAGGGGGAGCCTGGGTAGCTCAGTCGATTAGCCCTCTGACTTTGGCTCAGGTCATGATCTCACAGTTTATGAGTTCAAGCCCCACAGTGGGCTCTGTGCTGACAGCTCAGAGCCTGGAACCTTCTTCAGATTCTGTGTCTCCCTCTCTCTCTGCCCCTCCCCTGCTCGTGCTCTCTCTCTCTCTCAAAAATAAATAAACATTAAAAAATTAAAAACAAAAAGAATAGAATAAGCAAGCCACATAGTGAGAAAAGAATTTGCAAAAGATATATCCAATAGATACCTATTAGCTACAAAGGAAAAAACAGTAACTTTTCAGTGCAGAAATAGAGCAGATTTTACCCTAACCAAATGATTAAAGTTAACAGTGCCAGTAATGGTACAAATGGACATCATTTACCTCCTGATAGGATGCACTGAGAAGGACCCAACTTTCCTTCTGTGGTATTCCTGCCAAAAAATATATAACCTCAATCTAAACATGAGGAAACATCAAACAAACCCAAAATGAGGGAAATTCTATAAAATACCTAGTCTGTAATCCTAAAAGTGTCAAGGTTATAAAAGGCAAAGAAATACTGAGAAAGTGTTCCAGACTACCAGAGACTAAAGAAACATCATAACTGAATGAAATATGTGATCCCAGATATAATAAAGGGTATTAATGGGATGACTGATAAATTTTGAGTATGGTTAAAGTTTAGGTAATAGTATTATACCAATATTAATTTCCTAAATTTGATCATTGTACTGTTTTTGTGTAAGATAATGTTCTTTCTTTATTTTTTAAAAATGTTTATTTATTTATTTTTAAGAGGGAGAGAGAGAGAGAGAGAGACCAGGAGAGGAGAGACCCTCTGCCCAGGAGAGGGGCAGAGAGAGAGAGAGAGAGAGAGAGACAGAAAATCCCAAGCAGGC